CTGATATTCCTGGAATTCCCAAACCCATCCCAGAATTCCCAAGGGAAAATCCTGGAAAAATCCTGACAAAAATCAGCACCAAAATGGGGAAATTCAGCGCAAAAATGGGAAAAATCGGGGTGGGAATGGGGGGAAACCCCAAATTTTGGGAGCCTTCCTGGAGGATTTTGGGGAAAATTTAAACTTTTCCTGATATTCCCGGATTTCCCAAATCCATCCCGGAATTCCCAAGGGAAAATCCTGAATTCAAAAAGAATCCCAAAAAATTCCCCCCAACATTCAAAACAAATCCTAAAAATTCCCAAGAATTCCCAAAAAATTCCCCAAAGTTCAGAAAAAATCCTAAAAATTCCCAGGAATTCCAAAAAAATTCCCAAAAAATCCTGAAAGATCCCCAAAAAATCCCCCAAAAATCCCCAAATTCCCAAAAACTTCCCCAAAATTCAAAAAAAACCTAAAAATTCCAAAAAATTCCCCCCAAAATTCTAAAAAAATCCCAAAATTTCCATAAAATTCAAAGAAAATTCCTAAGAAATCCGAAAAGATCCCCAAGTATTTCCTGCAAAAATCCCCCCAAATTAAAAAAAATTCCTAAAAAATCCCCAAAAATTCCAAAAAATTCCCAAAAAAATCCTAAAAGATCCCCAAAAATTAAAAAAAAAAATTTCCCAAAATTAAAAAAGAATTCCTAAAAAATCCCCAAAAATTCCAAAAAATTCCCAAAAAAATCCTAAAAGATCCCCAAAAATTAAAAAAAAAAATTTCCCAAAATTAAAAAAGAATTCCTAAAAAATCCCCAAAAATTCCAAAAAATTCCCAAAAAAATCCTAAAAGATCCCCAAAAATTAAAAAAAAAAATTTCCCAAAATTAAAAAAGAATTCCTAAAAAATCCCCAAAAATTCCAAAAAATTCCCAAAAAAATCCTAAAAGATCCCCAAAAATTAAAAAAAAAAATTTCCCAAAATTAAAAAAGAATTCCTAAAAAATCCCCAAAAATTCCAAAAAATTCCCAAAAAAATCCTAAAAGATCCCCAAAAATTAAAAAAAAAAATTTCCCAAAATTAAAAAAGAATTCCTAAAAAATCCCCAAAAATTCCAAAAATATTCAGAAAAAACCCCAAAATTTCCCAAATATTCCCCCAAAAATTCCAAAAAACAATCCCCAAAAATTCCAAAAAAATTCCAAAAAAATCCCCAAAAAGTCCCCCTAAAATCCCCTTAAAAATTCCCCAAAATTCAGAAAAAAATCCTAAAAATTCCCCAAAATTCCCCCAAAAATTAAAAAAAATCCTAAAAAATCCTAAAAGATCCCGAAAAATTCCCGAAAAAATCCTTCAAAATTCCAAAAAAAATTTTGAAAAAATCCCCAAAAATTCCAAAAAAAAATCCCAAAATTTCCCAAAAATTAAAAAAAAATCCTAAAAAATCCTAAAAGATCCCGAAAAATTCCCGAAAAAATCCTTCAAAATTCCAAAAAAAATTTTGAAAAAATCCCCAAAAATTCCAAAAAAAAATCCCAAAATTTCCCAAAAATTAAAAAAAAATCCTAAAAAATCCTAAAAGATCCCGAAAAATTCCCGAAAAAATCCTTCAAAATTCCAAAAAAAATTTTGAAAAAATCCCCAAAAATTCCAAAAAAAAATCCCAAAATTTCCCAAAAATTAAAAAAAAATCCTAAAAAATCCTAAAAGATCCCGAAAAATTCCCGAAAAAATCCTTCAAAATTCCAAAAAAATTTTGAAAAAATCCCCCAAAATTCCAAAAAAAATCCCAAAATTTCCCAAAAAATTAAAAAAAAAAATTCCAAAAAAAATTCCAAAAAATCCCCCCAAAAAATCCCCAAAAATTCCAAAAAAAATTCCTAAAAAATCCCCCCAAAATTCTGGAAAATTCCCAAATTTCCACTCACGGAGGCTCCTCCGGGCCCGGCGCCGTCGTCGCTTTTGGGCTCCACGGCCAATTCGGCTTCCAGAAGTTTCTCCACCGGCATCTCCTCGTTGGGAGCCATCCCGAATTCCGGGTCCCCCTCCTTGTCCTTGCCCCGCTGCCGCTCCTCCTGCACGGCTGAGGAAATCCGGGAAAAACGGGAAAAGGATGGTGAAAAACGGGGGGAAAAGGGGAAAAGGGATGGGGAAAAACAGGGGAAAATGGGGGGAAAATGGGGGGAAAAATGGGAAAAGGGATGGGGAAAAACATGGAAAAGGGATGGGGAAAAAGGGGAAAAATGGGGGGAAAAAGGGGAAAAGGGATGGGGAAAAAGGGGAAAAGGGATGGGGAAAAA